GAAAAAGTACAAAAATGATTTTTAATGGCAAATTTACAATCCTGCAAGCCCTAGAAATCCATCTACCGTTTGTTTTTAAGTTAGTATGTGTTGAAATCCTACTCTGAACATTTTTATGTCCTTGCTCATAGCAAACATGTTATATCATTTTTGAGTTGGGTTTGCAATAAAGATTAATGAGAGTTAGTGTTTCAGCTTTTATGTAACAACAACAACAAAAAATTTTCCAAGTGCGTGTAAAACCAGCGGAAGTTCCACAGACTTTTGGACTCTTCTGTTCTTATGTATCAGTCTCTTGATGTTTCCTGTCTGCCTTTTTGACTACCTATACAGCTGTTTTTCATGTGTTTTTCAGACTTGGAGAAAGACCAAGTATTTTTGACAGCTGCTTGCTGAACTGCAATATATGCTTGGCCACAGGTCACGTTTGCATTTCTTCACTTGTATTTTTACTCAATGTGTAAAAGAAATATGAGCATAGATTCAGAAAACACGTCGCAGGCTGAGGAAAGGTAGTCTTCTTTCATGTATGCCACTCCACTTACTCTGCTGCATGATTCCACAGGAAGAAAAAGACAGGAGAGAAGGGAAGGAAATAGTATTCAGGACTGAACCTCCATGGGGCCGGCCCTTGTTGCTATGGTAATGAATGATGGAAAATGCTCTGGGTCATGCATGGTAGAAAGAAATTCTGGGCATGGACACACACACCCACACACACACACACACACACAGACCCAGAGCTATATACCATTTTAGTGAATAGACTATAATTTAGCAGAGAAAACTGTTAATCTAGCAGTCAGTTCAACATGTGATTGATTACCAGTTTATGCATCATATTAAAGCTTTGACTACATGATATTTTAACACCAGGAAATGAGGCACACTCTTTAATAAATACTCATTTCATGAGGCTGCCATAATGGAACTTTCCTGCTTTCCACCCCTCAGCCCCACAGGCACAATTTCTTTTTGCCTTTGAAAATGAAAAATACTGATTTCCAAAATCCTTTCAAAGTGATTTTGGTGGGTCCTTTATCAATTTGTTCCTAGATCTTACAAATCACAATGGTTATTTTTCTCTCATTATGATTAAGATCAATGGGGTAAATATCCCGATTTTAAATTCTGGTGGAATCTCCAAACTTCTGAACTATTTCAACTTTAAAAGATATTTTATTTTTCTGTGTATAGTTTAGGCATACTTTTTGAGGAAGCATCGTTAAGATGTTGTCATCTTTTCAGTCTCTTGCTTTTGTATTTCATGCCTTGTTGGTAAAACTTGATCCATTCAGTAGATCAAGTCTAACTACCTCTGGATGTTTTTTAAAATATGTTCCTTTTCTCTCCCAGAAATTTCCTCTGCTTTTACCTTTGACCCATATTCATTCTACTTGTCCTTCTCAGTCTAGATAGGATACATCTTAATTCTATCGTGAAGCCTTTCCCAGGAAGTTAATTGTTATTAACCTCTTTGGGTTTTTTTTTAGTACTTAGTCTGTTTTACATCATTTAGATTATCTATGTTAACTGATGTTATTTTAAAAAATGGATCCAGTGTGGTATAATGGAGTCTCCCAGGGAATGTGAATGATGTAATGGAGCCAGATAGATTCTGATTTGAGTACTAATTTTCTTATTTTCTAACTTTGGCATTAGACAAATTGTTAAAGCTATGTGGGTTTAGTCTTCTCATGTGTAAAATGGGATAATTATCCATTTTTTAGAATTATTTAAGATTATAGCTAATATGCTGGGTAAATGTTTAGGTCAAAGGTAGGAATATAACAGGTGCTCAGTAAATGGCAGTAGTAGTCATTATTGCTGCTGTTCTGTATTTCTTACAGCTCCTAATATAATACTGAGCATATGGTAAGGTATCTTTTGAGTATAGTTCATGCCTAGGTCATTTAAATAGCTCCTGAAATCTCATCGCTTTTATGAAGGCTTCCTGTTGGCTCTGTTCTTTTCAGAACTACAAAACTTTCATGGCTTCTTTCGACTGTTCTTTCTGTTACCATTATCTGTAAGAGGAGCCTCTGGTATGTATTCGGAGCTGGCTTCCAAAACAGTGATTTGATGGATTTATTTATTTAATTTTGAGTAATGTTTTGGATTGATCCCTACATTTTTCTAAATGTCAGCAGCCAGGATTATAATAAATAAAGCTTTTTTTTTTTTTTTTTTACTTCAAATGCGGTATGTTAGACACATAGAATAAAATCTCAGCCAACCTAGCTGGAGATGAATAAATTATTTTGCCTAGTTTACTTCAGCTTAACAGACATTTATTAGCACATCTTCTACATGCCAGGCAGTTTATAGTTCTTGGATTTACAAAGATGAATAAGATTTGGTTTCTGCCTTTGAGTTTAGTCTGGGATGAGTGAGGGATACAAAACCTGATCATTCCTATCGGTGATTAGCTATAATATGGAGATAAGGAGAGGGATCTGTAAGTGCTCAGCTGGAGGGTGGTTGAGGGGGAAAGAGAAGACTTTTGGGAAGACACGAGCCTCGGCCTGTGCCTGTGTGGTTTTCAGAAGTCAAATGGGATGATCCATTTGATTCAGGGACAGAGACTCAACTCAGAGTGGCTTCATTATTTATGAGAATCCATTGCTTGCAAAGTTCACAGGTAGGTTTATCTTCAAGTAAGGCTTGATATATTGACTCAAACAGTGTCTTCCATGACCCTGTCTTAACTGTGCCCTTGTAAAAGCCAGATGGCCTCCGTGATTCCCTACCATGTCCTCCTCATACATTTCTTCCCAAGGAGGAAGGGTAAGTTTTTCTATAGTTCCAGCTCAATCTAAGGATTTAATTTCTCTCACTGGCTGTAAATTATACCTGTCTCCAAACCAATCATTGTGACTAGTGGGATAATAATTGGTTTACATATGTCAGGGCCTGCCCTCCAGCTTAGAATAAAGTTAGTCTCATTCAAACGTCATGGCTAAATATAAGCGGAATGGGGAATAGATGACCAGGAGGTAGTCAGTGAACGTTTACTAGACTAGGGCAAGAAAAGTAAAGTGTTTTGGGGAAAGAGAATAATCTAAGCAAAAACATGGAAGAATGCACCATCATAATGTGTGTAGGAAACAGCAAGCAGTTAAACATTAACACGATGCGTAGTATGAGACTTAGAAAATAATTATAGAATAATTGATTGTGTATTTACCACCTGTTGGATCTAGTTTCCATATATTACTTCATTTAATTCTCACAATAACTAAGGTAGGTACACCATTTTGTAAAGAAACCTGAGCCTAATCTCACAGATAATATTTGGTGGACTTGGTCTCAAACTCAGATTATCTGACTCTAGAGGCAGCCCACATGGACATTTCAGTGTATTTAGAACTCTCCTCTATAATGCTAGAGTTTTAGGAAATAAGACCCCATATACAATGCTAAGGAGCCAAGTTTTCTCTGGGGCTGAAGTTTTCTTTAAACTCTAGCTTTTTGTCATGCTATGCCAAGGCAGTGGTTTTTGAGTTTTCGCATGCATCAGATAGGCTCTAGAGCTTGTTAAAACCTAGATTTTCTGGGTCCTAACACCAGAGTTTCTGATTCAGCAGATCTAGAGTGGGACCCTTGAATCTGCATTTCTAAGAAGTTTAACTGAACCTGAAGCTGAAGGTCTGGTAGCCACACTCTGAGGACCACTTTTTGATGTCTTTGGGAAACTGAAGATTTGTGGTTCAACAATATTCAACATATTGAAATGAACTCAAATTTTATTGGTACTTCTACTTGCAAGTACACTTGCTCTGACCTCACCTTCTTTAATAATACAGATGTAAAGAGTATATTTGGTTACAGTAATATCCTTCCCCAAAGGCCAACGTCATTGCATAAGTGTTTCATTGATTAGATTTCTTCCGTCTCTCTGATTCTTGACTTATTAAGATTAAATTTATTGCTCTCCTTTTAGGTTCCACCTAATTCGCTAATGCTCAGTCCCCCCCTTTATTGTTTAAGTGCAATTGTATACAGAGGACATATCTTTAAACACTATTTTATTGTCTACATTTTTATTATTGGCTTTATTTAATGATTCATGAATCAGGCAACATTCCATCTAGCAGATAGAAAGGAGCTACTAAATTTCAAAATTTAAGTATACTACATTGGCATGATATCCAAGGTAAAATGGAACAGTTACTATAGGACTTACTATATATGGTAAGTATGGGTTAGAGGTGACAAATTAATTAAGAGGATTGACCTTTTGTTTATTCCCTTAATTTTCTGTACTATAGTTCTTCCCTACCTAATATACTAATCACAGTAGCAAAATATGAAAAGTTATAGCTACTAGATCTTTCTCAGGTTAGGAATACTATACTATATCATAGAAATAATCATTATTATCATCTCAGTATATTATAAGAACTGTAAATTTCATAGTACTTGTAGACTGATAGTAGAAGGCACATCAGAATCAATCTATAGCTTAGGACAATCAATGATAAGTATTCATTTATTTTTTACTCTCAACAGTGCTTAACACTACGATTTTTATAAAACTGGTGCCTAATACATGTCTACGAATTGGATCTGCTGTGTTTGACTGATATCTAAGTCAAATATTTGAAAGTGCGAGGCTGACATATTATGAAGAAGAGGGGCAGCCTTGTTGCAGAACAATTGTTGTAATTCTGATTTTGGAAAAGATGATATCTTGCAAAGAATCATGATTGTTCTCAGATTATCTTGAATTAAAGATTTTAGCATGAGTAAATGAAGTGAATATATTTAAAATTATAGACATCTTCTGAATCATTTAAAAATTGTGAAATGTACAAATGGTGATAGACAATAATCTGATAGCTTCATCAATTCGTAATTTAAAGTTTAAACTGCTCATTTTGCCCCTGGGGTGGTGGTGGTGGAATTAACTATGACATATCTGTGGTAGATAGTGATAAATTAACACCATTATATTCATCAAAAGTACAGGTCACCAAATTTCTCTAATTCTTCTTTAGGTCGAGATTTAATTTGCATTCAGTCTATGGACGGGATGCTGATGGTGTTCGAGCAGGAAAGCTATGCTTTTGGGAGATTTCTCCCTGGTTCTCTTTTACCTGGCCCTCTCGCTTACAGTTCCCGGACAGATTCCTTCATTACTGTCTCTTCCTGCCGACAAGTGGAAAGTTACAAGTAAGTTTGGATGTTAAATCTTTGAAACCATGATTTTTTATGCATATGTTGCTAATTCTTTTTTACACAGCTTGAATATTACAAATGAAAAGAGCCTGGTTTCTTTGATAAAATGCAATTGTGCTGACTTAGTGTTATCATTCACATAATGTAAACTATTTGAAAGGCAGTATAGTGCAGAGATGGAGAGGAGGGGTTTGGGGAGAGGCAGACCTGGATTGGAATCATGATTTTGCTGCTCACAGCTGTTTGATGGTCAGTGTCCTTATCTTGGCTGTAAAGGGATAACAATGGCTACTTTGACAAGCTTTTTACAAGGATTAAATGTCTGTCAACTTGCCACCCCATAAAAAATGCTCAATAATCATTAGGACTGTTCTCTGAATTATAAATAATAAAACAGTGTGTGTGAAAAAAGCCACATACAAAGATGCATATACGGAATTATTTTATAATAAAAAAAGAATGTGTGACATAGGAAGAATACTGGAGAAATACAAATGTTATGAATGTTTATAAAAGAACAATTCATATTTGCAGTAAAGTATGAAAGTGACTCTTTGAAAACAGTTTATACTTCTGCTAGAGAGAAATCCTTATTGATTTTGGTGAAATGTGTTTGAGAGACACCTTTTTCTCCTCTACTAGCTATGTTTCAATGAAAATTAAGGTCTTGAGTTTCTGGAGGGTGTTATTTTGTTGGAAGGGAGAATGGGGAAAAGAAAGTAGTGATCTATGCTGGAAAAAGAAATAGACTTGGAGGCTTACGGTGTCTTCGGTAACATTATTGTTGTTATCTCACTGGTGGCAACATTTAGAACTTTAAACGTCTAAGCGACACTTCATTATAACTTTTCAGTATTATTCTTGGCCATATGATTTTTCCCAAGGCAGGAAGAAAATATAAATTCATCAGGCAACAGCCATAAATTTTTGTCTTCAAGTTTCAATATGTGTATATAGCAAGTTAATGCAGTTTTCATAAGTGGCAATCTACCTTTTGTGAATTATTGTCAGGGCATCTAGGATTCAAAACTCTGAAAACAGGCAAATGTTTGTGACTAAGCAGAAGTTAACTGATGGAGATAAAGTATCATTATGTCACATTCTTTCTGTAACTCTCGTGACTCTTGTCCAGAGGAGATGAATGAATTGTGGCATTGCTACTGGTAATAAATAAAACATGTTTATCTTGAGAGGTTGAGAAAAGTATCTCTACAATACATTGAAGACTGCCAAAACTTAAGCAATGTTGAGGAGATAGATCTGCTTCTCAGCTTTCCACCCAGTTCTGTGCCTCAGCTCCTGCCGAGCAGTGACACCGGCAGTTACCCTGGGTTCACAGCACAAAGATTAGATGGCCCCGTGACTTACTTTTTGAAATATGTGCATAGGAATTAATTTGGTAATAACTCTGTGAGCGATTGGATGAAGAGGCAATGTGTAGGTTTCCTTAATGTGTAAATTTAATCCTATAGAAGCTCACACTGTTTGAGGTAAATCAACATACCAATCCATTAAATTCATCTCCATCTAGAACTAAAAAATCTACTCTTTATCCATATGTGGATCTTTTATAATCGTAAAAATGAGTGGAATATGCGATTTTTGTGAAATGATGACAAACAAGAGGGTTTATAACATTAAATAGTGTGTTGTATTTACATATACTTTCAAGTTTAATAGATTAAATTAAATGATAATCACTGGTATAATTTAGGATGGGAGAAAGCATGAAAACTTTAGGTTCTTTTGAGGCTTCATTACCTATATTTATAATCAGTTAATAGAATGTAATCAGTTTGTATAAAAGACTTTTAAGTAAAATTCATTTTCATTTTTGGTATTCATATTTAATTGCTTTAAAACAGGCTCAGTTATGTTCAGATTTGAACTAGGGAAGACCGTGAGTCTCAGACTTTAGTGTGCATAAGAATCACCTAGGAAGCCTTTTATAAAATACACATTTGCATACAACAGAATATACAGATGTCAAATTATAATGTACACCTGAAAATTATATAATTGTATTAACCAATGTTACCCCAATAAACTTAATAAAAAAATAAAATACTATATAAATCTCACACATACACACAAAATACACATTTGCAGATTCCCATTTCCCACAATCCTAGTTTTGATTTAGCAGGTTTTGAGAAAAGACCCAGAAGTTGTCATTGCAAACACACACTCCAGGTAGGATTCTAAGTCAGGAACACATGTCGAGAGTTGTTTTTCTTTTGAAGTGAGATAATTATTTGCTTTCTTTTGGTGATGGTGGTGAGGCCTGGTGGCTTGGGTACCACCACTCTCTTGGCCATATTTATTCAAACTTTGGACCATTGTTTTGTTTAATTACACACCCCCCTTCCATCCCTGACCTACGGTTGTTGCTGTCTCCCCTTAAGAGCTGGATCTCTGAAGGCAGGGCTTCTCCTCCCACACGCTTGTGGCACACACCCAGGGCCTGGCACACCTGGAGTATGGGGCCATGGCTCCGCTGGGGCTCGAACCTAGGGCCTTCTGTGTGTGAAGCAGACGTGCTAACCACTACTTTATGGAACCACCCCTGGACCATTTTTTATTCTTGTTTTCTTTCCTTTACCGTCAGAGTTAGTAAATCCTGAACTTTTTACCTTTCCTTCTCTTATTCAGCCCTTGCTTGCTCTTCATCCCCACTGGCATTCAAGCCTTTATCTTCTCACTTGGATTTCTGATTTTCTTACCTGTAGACTTTAGGGTCCTTCTTATATCTACCTTTTTAAAACACTTGTTTGAGGCAGAACTTTTGTTTCCCATTAGTAAATCTTATATTGACATTTGGTGCTTTTTATAATTTAGTCCCATTTTACCTCTATTGTTTTGATTTTCAGATTTGGAAGGGACTTTTAAAGTTAACTGCTTCAACTATCCACCTTTTTTTACTGCTTAGATATATAATTGCCTAAAACACTGATTTTTGTCCAATATCATACACTAATTTTTTGTAACGTGCTGAGATGTTCTAGAGTATGCTTTGCGTTATCAGGTTCCTGAGAGCTGAATCTGTATTAAATATCTACTCACTAATGGAATAATTCAGTTCATTTGTTTAATCATTCAGAAAACATATTTTAAGAGGCTTCTGTGTGTCACACACTGTGCAAAATACTGGTAATGCAAACTCAGTAAGACCTGTGTCTTGTCCTCAGGCACTATGTAGGCAAGCGGGAGAGGTAGCACATCATTCAGCTGTTTCAATTCATTGTGATACAGCCTATCGCAGAGCTGTGCGCAGGACACTGAGGAGGCCTAGAGGTGAGACCTTTAAATAAGAGTTGAATGTAGGGAGGCTCTCTGAAGAAGTATATGTACTTGCCATGAGTTTTATTTTTCTCTCCTCTTTGCTCTACGTTTCCCCTGCACCCCTACAAACGGCTTCTGATACATTGCTAAGTAGATAACAGGCTTTAAATCAGTATTTTAAAATGCATTTGTTGAATTTAATTGACAGTATTTATTCTTTACCAGTCTTAGGCTCTTGACAATTTGAAATATATGGTGTTCTCCACATATACCCAGGGCTTTTCTCTCTCCTTTTGCCCATGCTGTACTCTGAGATGCTCTTCCTTCCTTTTCTGCGTATGAAAATCATGTTTGGAAGCCTCAGTGCTCCTCTTCAGTTTTGTCCTGACCTAGCTGCAGGTAACATCTCCTCCTTCTCAATTTATAGAGTAGTTTTCCCTGCTTTCCACAAGCACCATTTATGCTTTCATTGATATTATATGTTGGCTTGGTTTTTTTCTTGACTGAGCTAAATCCTCCTTGATGGCAGGAATTTTGTATCCCCGAAATGCCTAGAATTGTACCTTGCTGACAGTAGATGTTTAACATGAACTTGAAAGAATGAAGAGTTTGTAAAGGAAGTTTCTACTTTGTTAATGGCTTCTTTCAATGAAAATGGTTCTTGCATAACCAAGAATGTTTTAACTATAATTGAAATGAACATAGTGATACTCTCTTTCCAGAGCTTCCACTTGTAGTAGAGTTCCCCGAGTTAAATATAAAGGTTCCAAAATCCCCTGGTGCCCTTTGAAGTTAACCACAGTGTTTCATGTGGAAATAAACAGTTTTGGAGGGTTTACTTTTGTACTCTGACTCCTCAATCCATATTTTAGCTACTTGCTGTTTTTACGATGTGATGCAGATGAGAACTGAATTATACGGTTGAGTTTGTTATTGGTGCTCCACAGGACCTATGAAGCAGTTTTGGTTACTGGGTCAAATAGCACCATTGTTCACCTTGACTTGCTGTATTTGTGGTTAGCACCTTTTTGTTCAGAGAAATGCATATGGCGTTCTTTCATGAAATCTTATTACATTGGCCTGATTATTCTTCAGCAGTCTCTGTGAGGGAATCTTATTCTTTAGCTTATATCACTGAACATTTGAATGGTAAGCAAAAAAAATCCAGGTTTTTTTTTATTTTTTATTTTAGAATTTCCAAGTCTGTTTAGAATCATTTGGTTTTGGAAATAGATTTCCATGTACATTATTGGTCACAGTTAAGAGGATTTAAGGAAGAACCATAAAATAGATGCTGTTGTAAGTTTGTCATTATCTAAATTTACTGTCAGTTACATTTAGTAATAAAATACTCTTCTGAGTTGTCTTTCAGGAAGAAAAATGGTCTGAATTTGGAAATCAGGAGTCAATTTTGGCTGTGTCTCTGTCTGCAGTTTTGATGTTAATGAGGCCACTTTAGGGGCTCATTTATTCCTCAGATGAAATAATAACTCTTTGTAGTTATATAAGGAGCTTCAAACAGCTCAAAAGCTTTGGATTTTTGCAACAATCTCATTAATATCCATATCATGCCCTGGTAGGTTGGTGTCTGCAGAAAATTAACCACCTATGTAATTAATTGCCTGAGGTTAGACCCACAGCAGGACCAGCTCTGGGCTGATGTTCTAGTTACTAGTGAGTGCACACTATTTCTGTTACCATGAACTGGGAAGAGTAAAATCATTCTGTTTGGAGATTGGAATGTGAGGTTTATTTTGGCACCTTTGGAGACTTAGGGGTTTTGACGGTCAGTTACCTTTGGAGACTCAGTTGATACGGAGGCATTTTTGCTGCAGCTGCCTATGGAATTCTTTTGCATGGTTTTACAAGGCTGAGATCTTTTCTCTCCTACCTTTTTTTTTTTTTTTTTTTCGGTCTCATTTCCCATGACTCAGTCCTCCCACCATACATTTCTCCTAAACTCCTGTCATGGCCTTTCATGTATCTTTTACTGCTGCATGCCTTTGCATGTGCTGCTTGCTTCGTATAATGCCTTTTACCTCTTTACCAGTGTGATGTGTTTTCATTCATTATCTGTATATAGCTTTCTCTTCTTGAACTTATACCAAGATCATATATATTTCCTTCACCTCTATTTCTGTTTCTGCCACTGTGGTCTCTTGGTACTATGTGCATACCTTCTGTTAGCACAGGGAGCTCTGAGTTACACTTCTTTGTCCGTATATGAATCTCCACAACTACTTTGGGAGGTCCTGATGGATATAGACAGATAGTAGTTTTTTTCCTTTGTCAATGCTTGATTAGATCTCTAGTATATGTTTATTGAATGAAATGAAATACATATAGGTTAAACTTTCATATTAACTGTAAGACTGATATTTATGAATGCCTTGCAAAATCTATCTTAATTCATAGTCATTCTGTATCCAGTTTTTTATAAATGAAGTGTTCCTGATTGAGATAGAATGGTTTAAGAGTTGGTATATGACATTTGAATACCAGTGTACATTTCAGTGCTTATTTAGATATTCCACATTGCCTTTTATTCATTCAGGTCCCAGGTGTTTACACTCTCAGACATCTTTCTCCTAGACAATATTATGTGTCTCAATATATCTTTTTACTAATTTTCTTCTTAGCTATGGAAGAATAATGCAAAGAGTTTTGATTCAATAGGAGGGAAAGGAATCTATGAACCTGAAGTTTCTTCTTTTAGAATAGGATTATTACCCTAATGGGATGTTAATGGGAAACAAGCAAATTTAAACATTTTTGGTTAAATTAATCATGTCTAGATTGAATGATATTTTTAAGAATTATTTGAGATAAATGTTACTGTTGAAATAAAAGCTGTAAAATACTTATAGAAAGTCATACTGTTCACTACTGAGAACTTATTTTATGCTTCATAAACTACTAGGTGATTGAACTTGAACTTTATGTAAATCTGTATCTGTCTAATTATTAATCTATCAATGAATAATTGAGCACCTAATATATACTAGATACTATGCTAGGCGCTACATTATTCAATTCTTTTAACAAAGCTTGAATCAGAGATTATTATTCCCATTTTACACATGGAGAAGATAAGACACAGTGTTTAATTTGCCAAAATTCGCTCAACTGAGGTAAGTAGTTAAACTGGGGATTAAACTCAAGTCTTCTGTGTTCCATCAATTATGTATTAATAATTTCTGCTACATCTGGCTGGTTTGCATTGTTTACATTTTTTTCTATTTGATGTTTTCGTGCTAGATCTTTCTTGAGTATTGTTATTTGTCATGTAGAATTCTAATGGAAATGCAGTGATAGTTGGCAGAACTCTTTTCCCAATATAGAATTTTGGGACATATGGTTATAATTTCTTGATCACGACAGTTTTACATAGTCTTATGTCACAGTATCATTTCACAAGAATTCAATCTTAAGTTTTACAGTTTTTAAAACCAAGGGAAAAGTGATTCATAAGGCTTATAGATTATGTGCTTTTATTTATTTAAAATTTTCAGCTTTATTGAGATTATGTTTTTAAAGTTTAAAATAGTTTATACTTTTTAACTGTAAAGTCACTTATAATTATCCATATCTTTCAAACAGGTACCAAGTACTTGCTTTTGCAACAGACGCAGATAAAAGACAGGAGACTGAACAGCAAAAACTTGGTTCTGGAAAAAGACTAGTCGTAAGGCCTTTTTTTAATACCTAAAAGTTTCATTAATGTTATCTTTAATCACATATTTATTCAGAATAAGAATTCTGGGGAAGAACATTAAAAAATATTTCAGCCATTTCTCTTTTCTGTTACGATTATGTCAATGATCAAAGAATTTAGTTGGCTGTTACTGAGCAGTAGAGACACATTCTTAGTCGTGGTCATTCAATACCAGATTATGGAGTTGCCCCAGTAGAATTATAGATGTCCAGATGGTGTCACTTTTCACTGAAATGACTATAAATTAACAAAACAAAAATAAAAATTAAAAAATCCCTTTAGTAGGCAAAAAAGTTGCTACCAGTAGGCATGTGACCAAATGTATAAATAAAAGATAAAAATTCACAGCCCACAAAGATAAAATTCGCTCAGAGACAAAGGTGGAAGTTTGATAACTTGAAAAACAGTATGAAGAAAAATCGTAAAGGGTAAAATTTCAGTTTAATGGAAATTAAGGAATAGATGGTGATTGTGACTCTCCATAGACAGGAAGGCAAAAAATAGAAGGAACTGAAATTATGATATAAACAGTAAAGTGAATTTGAGGTCACATGCATTATACATGAAGAAATGATAGGGACTTTAGAATACTGAGGAAATAATATCAGAGAAGACTAATTTTCTGTATTAGAAGTTAAGGGCGATGGGAGAAAGGAAGGCTAACTGGAAAGAGTCAAGAACGAATTGAAAACAGTTTTATCAATGGTAGTTAATGGCAGTAAAAGAGAGAGCACAATAAATAGAAACGTTTTTGTAAAAAATTTGGAGGTACTATAGTAATAAAAGTTAAAGCATAGACTTTGGAGTTAAATATCAAAAGTTATTCTTATTTTGAACATGTCTGAGCAAGTTTGCTAACCTTGGTCAGTCTAATTTTTCTCAGTTGCAAAATGGTAACTATACCTATTTTACAGTATTGCCATTAGATATATATGTAAAGCACGTAGCAAAATGTTTAGATGATGATGATAACAATGATAATTGTGATCAACTTGTCCTTGACCTCTTCCTCAGTAGTAGTCTTTTTCCATTGTCCCTCATGTTCTGCACTCCAGACCCTTATTGTTCCAAATATTCCATGGCTCTACTTGATTTTGGGTTTCTGCATATGGTTTTTCTTCAGTCTGGAATATCCTTCACTCATTTATTTGGAGGTATTTATTGATACTACTCTGTGATTTACACTAAGGATGTATTCTGAAGGCCATTATAGTTGAATGATATTCTATTCTCGATTAATGAGTAGAGTAAGAAATAATAGTAAAACTTCCTTTCACTCCACTGCAGTCACTTGGCAGGACTGTGATACATTATTAAATCTATTGCAGAGGAACAGAATTTATCCAGGGGAATGCTTTGAATAAAGTAGTTGTGGAAAGGCAGTTAATATGAATAGATTTAAGTCTGTCATCTGGCTATTTGATTTCTATTTGTCCTATCTGTTCTTTGTTCGCTTATTAGCTGTAACTCTGTTCTGTTATTTTAGTGGTTGCTTTAGAGCTTACAGTACATAACTTTAATTTACCACAGTCTACTCTCAGGTGATATTATACTACTTCATATACTGTATAACAATATACTTCTGCTTCTCAGCCTTTGTGCTCTTGTCATCTATTTTAATTTTACATACACCGTAAACTCCGTATTACATTGTTATTATTTTTGTTTGAATAGGCGCTCAATATCTTTTAATAAGATTTAAATTATAAGAAAAATAGCTTATATTTACCCATATAGTTATACCATTTTTGGTGCTCTTCATTAATTTGCATAGCTCTAGGACATCCATCTGATGTCATTTTCCTTTCTTTTGAAGGATTTCTTTTCACATTTTTTTTCAGTGTGAGTCCGCTGGTGATGACGTCTTTCAGTTTTCATATGTTTTATATTTTTGCCTTTGCATTTGAAAATATATTCTTTGGGTGTAAAATTTTAGTTTGACAGATTTTTTTCCCCCTCGTACTTTAAGATACTACTCCACTATCTTCTTGCTTGCATTATTTTCAATGAGAAATCTGCGGTCATCTTATTTTTGTTTTTTTGTACGTAATATCTTTTTCTCTGGCTGTTTTTCATATTTTCTTTAATCTCTTGTTTGAGCAATTACATTTTGATGTGCTTTGTGTAGTTTTCTTTCTTTTTTGGGGGAGGCTTAGGATTTGTTGAGCTTCTTGCATCTGTGAATTTATAGTTTTCATGAAATTAGAAAAATTTTAGCTATCCTTCAAGTACTTTTTTTCTGTTCTCCATCTTTTTCCTCTCCTTTGAGAAAAATTACACAGACATTTAGGCTACTTAAAGTAGTCCTACAGCTCACAGATTTTTCATTTTATAAAAGTTGTTTTTTTGGCCTTTTGAGCCACGCTCCTCTGCTCAAGCCCGCTTCCACATCTGGAAGTGTACTTTCCCTTCTAATAAAGCTTTTCTTTTCTGCTGTTAAAAAAAGTTGTTTTTTCTCTCTAATTCATCATTTTGGATAATTTCTACTCTTACGTTTTCACGGTCACTAATATTTTTTTCTACAATGTCTAATTTTGTATTCATTCCCATCTGGTAAGGCTTTCATCTGTAATTCAAGTTGGGCATTTAAAAAATATCTTCTATGTCTCTAACTTTTTGAAGATATGGGATACAGTTATAATAATTATTTTAATGTCCTTGCTTTCTAATTCTAACATTTGTATCAGTTTTGAGTCAGTTTCAGTTGATTTATTTATCTCCTCCTTGTATCACATTTTCCTATTTCTTTACATGTTTGGTAATTTTTTGTTAGATGCCAGATACAGTCAATTTTACTTTGTTGGGTGCTGGATGTTTTTGTATTCTTAAAACTGAACCGTACTTGAGCTTAGGCTTGAGACAAAGTTGAGTAAGTTGGAAGCATTTGGGTCTTGCTTTTAAGTCTTGTTAGGTGGGATCAGGGCAGTGCTCATTCTGGGGCTACTTATTCCCCACTCTTGTGCGAGCCCCTTCTGTTCGCTTTATCGAGCTCACTTCGAATTATAAGGTGTTGCAGTGTGGCTGGTGGGCGCAGACAGTATTCTAGGCTTTCTAATCCTTTTTGGTGGTTGTTTCCCTGGCCTTGGGTAGTTTCCTTACATAAGTGTGCTCACAAGTATTCAGCTGAATATTTGAGAGCATTCTCTCTTCTCTTTGGCATGCTGTCTTGCAGACTCTAGCTGCATTGGATTCTGTGAACTCTCATCATCCATCTCCTTAACTCAGGGATTCTCTTGCCTAGGTTTTCCCTCGCTGTGCCATGGCCTGAAAAATTTCTCAATGGCTGGAGCAATCATATCACTCATCTCATTTATTTTCTGTCATTAAAGGATTGCTGTCATTTGTTGTCTAATATCCAGTGCCTGGCAAACTGTTGTTTCATATATTTTTTCCATGTTGTATTAGTTTCAGGTGGGATGGTAAATTCTTTTCTTATTACTCCATGTTGGCTGGAAATGGAATAATTTTTAAATTATCGTTCTTAGTAAATAAACCTCTGTGTTGAGACTTATTAATTTAGAATGTGATATATTTTCCTAAGGGGAGGTCACAAAAGGTGGTACTCAGTAAATGCTGAATAGGAAGTATTGAATGGGGGGATCTCAGCCTGCAGCCTCGGAAACCTGATCTGCCTGTCTACTCAGTGAACCGCCCTCTCTCAGAGTCAAGGACACATCACCCCAAGTTTCAGACACTGATATGTAATGCTGGAATGCCAGCCCATTAAAACGTCATGAGAAATGTAACTGCCCTGGGACTGGCATTCATGGAAGCTACACTTGACTTAAATGGTAATCAAGTGATTTCTTGGTGTCGAATCCTTTTTTAAATCAGGCTATTTGTTTTCTTGCTATTAAGTTGTCTGAGTTCCTTATGTGTGTTTGGATAGTAACCCTTATTGGATATATGGTTTGCAAATATTTTCCCCCATTCCGTAGACTGTCTCTTCATTCTTTTGATTGTTTCCTTTGCTGTGTAGGAGCTTTTTAGTTTGATGAAATCCTTATTTTTACTTTGGTTGTCTGTACTTTTAGGGTCATATCCAAAAAATCATCACCCAGGCCAATGTCAGGAAGATTTCCTCTATGTTTTCTTCTAATAGTTTTACAGTTTAATTTCTTATGTTTAAGTCTTTAATATGTTTTGAGTTGATTTTTGTATATGATGTGAAATAGGGGTTCAGTTTCATTCCTCTGCCTGTGGATATCAAGTTTTCCCAAAACCATTTTTTTGTCTGATATTTTATTATTTGAAAAAATTGAAAAACAATAAATATCATTTGATCCTTAGGCAGCTTTGTTACAAAAAGTGAAGTCCATGATTTTAGAACGATGATAGCCATTTATCAACCAAATAATCAGTTTTCACACAGTTTCACTAATTGCAGCAACTTCTTTGAACTGTCTGTAGAAATTCAGAAACTGTGGAGTTGTCATTTCAAAAGACTTATTCTTTATTTGCCACTTTCAGCATCACTGCAACTTAAGGATACTTAAATGATCTGCAACTGTCCGAGCTCATGGCCATACCCAGCTTCCACTGAAAATCCAGAAACTGGTTGGTGACCTTGGCCTTAGCATCCAGCTGCAGCTTGCTAGACCCCCTCCATGGCAAGTGTCCAGGGCTTGATTCGGGTGGACACTCCCGGAGCCACCAACATTTCTGTTTCCAAAACCAGTTTTTGAAGAGACATTTCTTTCCCCACTGTGTATTCTTGATACCTTTGTGGAACATCAATTGACTGTAAATGCATGAAATTATTTCTAGGCTCTCTATTCTGTTCCATTGGTCTAGATGGCAGGTTTTTATGCCAGTACTGAGCTGTTTCGATTAGCATAGCTTTGTAGTATATTTTGAAGTCAGGTAGTGTGATGCCGTCAGCTTTGTTCTTTTTGCTCAATATTGCTTGGGCTATTTGGAGTCTTTTGTGGTTCTTTCTGAATTTTAGGATTTTTTTTTTCTATTTCTGTGAAAAATACCATTGGAATTTTGATAGAGATTTGAATCTGTAGATCACTTTGGGTAGTAGTATAGACATTTTAATATTCATCTAATCCATGTACACAACATATCTTTCTATTTATTTGTGTTCTTCAGTTTCTTTCATGAAGGTTTTATAATTTGCAGCGTGCAGATCTTTGGTTAAATTTATATGAGTATTTTTGAGGCACCGAATGGCTAATATTGTCTGGTAAAAGATGGGGCAAAAACTACTAGAGTATATAAATATGGTCATAGCAAAAAAAAAGTGAATTAAGATTAGCCAATCTTTATATCTGCTTTGTTGTATAGAACTTTCTTAATTGTAGTAATATGAAAGTAACTGGAATATTGTTTTTAGCAACTAAATTGATCCTTAGGTTCTCCTTTACAGGTAGATTGGACTCTCAATATTGGAGAGCAAGCCCTTGATATATGTATTGTCTCTTTCAATCAGTCGGCATCTTCTATTTTTGTTCTTGGTGAAAGAAACTTTTTTTGCCTGAAGGATAATGGACAGATTCGATTCATGAAGAAACTTGATTGTAGTCCAAGTTCTTTTCTCCCATACTGTTCAGGTATGTAGAAAGATTTTCTTTTATCTTTCTCATATGTCAAGGTATATACATCAGAAAAAAGCCAAACTCACACATTTTAAAATTCTAGGAAAATAGTTTTATGCTGAACATGTAATGGAAATTTTAACTTTTAAAGTTTGAAAAGAAGTTTGATATAAAACACACATTAGAGTTGGTCAGTCATTTTACTTTGTACAAAATAACTTGTGGAATTGGCCTCAGGCATACATTAATGCTTTCCAAAATGTGTCTGTTCAAGATGCTTCTAAGAGAACATCAGACTCTTTTATAAGCAGAATGGAGTATAGTGATGCCTAATAGAATGACTTATCTGTAGTGAATGCCCAGTAAATCATTAGCTTAAATGTGTTAAATATTAATGAAATCCATGCTTCCTAGATGAAATGCAAAAATGTTGGCTGGTATCTAGTTATAGTTTCCAAGTCTATAATTTTTCTTTTTGATATTGGTAGCTCGAAGTTAAAAAATAATGTTTTATCACTTAAAATCTTTATGCATTAACATCGAGATGTTGTAATTAGTTTGTATCATAAATCTCCTAAAGGGGATATAATATACTGTTGCAGATGGCTGTTTTTTTTTTTTATTATTGCCTTTTTCTATCTTTACCCTACAGTTTCTGAAGGAACAATAAATACTTTGATTGGAAACCATAATAAAATGTTGCATATTTATCAGGATGTGACACTGAAGTGGGCCACTCAGCTTTCTCACATTCCTGTGGCAGTAAGAGTGGGCTGTTTACAGTAAGTGATTTAATTTAACATAGTTTTTTTTTTTTTTTAAAGAAGATTCCTTAGTCAAGGAATTCTCTAGAAGTTTTATGAAACAATGGTAAGTGATTTTACTAAAAAATGACAATTGACATTTAGTGTGAATGTCAGCAATGGAAATAATTTAAACTACAACCGTTATTGGAAAAGAAGGATATAAAAGACCTTCATTGGAATCATTAATCATTTTTATTTAGTACCTCTAGATTAGAGATACTAAATAAAAATCTCAGTAAATGTATAAAAACACACTTTCTATAAAGCTTCATAGGTTCTCAGATCTATCATTTCTGCTTATTATATCATTTTATTGGACATTTTAAAAACCATATATAGGCTTCTTCAGTGACACCTATAGTATCTGATCAGTATGACCAAACCCCTCAAATTAAGAGGTTGAATGTTACATACCACATAATGAAATTTTGGTCAATGATGGTGGTCCCATAAGATTATAATGGAGCCGGACAATTCTTACAGTTAAGTGACATTGTTGCTGTTGAAACATTGTAGCACAATGCGTTACTCATGTTTTTGTGGTGATGCTTGTGTAAACAAACCTATTGCGCTTCTAGTTGTCATATGAAAGTATAACACATATAATTAAGCATAGTACATAATTCTTGATAATAAACGACTGTGTTACTGGTTTACATATTTACAGTACTTTTTATTTTAGAGTGTACCTTTTCTACTTATAAAAAAAGTTTGCTGTAAAACAGTACACCCTCCTGTGTTGGCAGCAGCCTCATACATCTTGTGTTTATCAGGTCTCTTGATTGCATCATTTTTTCTCTGAATCTTGTGTTGTTTCGTTCGTTCATCATGGCCCTTAAGCATGCACAATTCACTGGTAATGTTGCCAGTAAAAGACCACATCTAGTGATTGAACTGGAAATGAAATTAAAAATGATTAAGGACTATGAAGGTAGAAAATCAGTGATGAGTGTTGCTTGCCAGTCAGGTGTGTCTCATTCTGCCATAGCTATGCTCTTGAAGAACAAGAACAAAGTGACAGAAACTGTTAAGGACCTGTTTCATTGAAGACAATGAGACTAACAAAAATTTAAGAAGTGCCTAAATGGAGACTCTTCTCATGACCTGGATTGAAGACCAGACACAGAAACCTATCTCTCTCAGCACCATGGCAATCATAGCCAAAGCAAAAAATTTGTTTGTGCTGTTGAAAGAAAAAACTGGACCCGACTGCAATCTTGAATTTACTGCTAGCCCTAGATGGTTTGAACCCAGAGCTAGAATGATTTTTCATTATAATATTGCAAAAATGAGTGGTGAGTGTGAGTGCTGATGTGAAGGCAGCTGAAGAATTTTTGGAAACTCTGTGTAAGTGATTGTGGAGGAAAATTACTTACCAGAGCAAATATTCAACGTGGTTGAACCTCCCTATCCTGTAAATGGAAGCCTGAAAGGACTTTCATCCATAAAGGGGGACAAGTCGTTAACTAGGTTTCAAGATTTTTATGGGCAGGATAACAGTTTTGCTTGGGGCCAGTGTTGCAGGCTACAAATTGAAACCCTTTGTGATCTGGCCCAGTGAGGACCCCAAGGCCTTCAAGGATATGAATTAGTACTTGGTGCTGCGGTGCTACAAGAGCAGTAAGAAGCCAGGGACGACATAGCTCCTCTTTTCAGATGTCCTCTTGGATTGCTTTGCCAGCGAAATGGAGAAGTACTGTTTGGAGAGTTAAATACCTTTCAAGATACTGCTTATTACTGATAATGCTCCTGGATAGCCTCTTTTTATTGGTGATCTTTATCCCACTATCAAAGTTGTGTTTCTTCCTCCAAACACCACCTCTTTGATCCAGTAATTATAACAACTTTTAAGGCTTACTACTTATGTGGCAGCCTGACCCTGTCTGGCCATTTCCTGCTCGAACAAGTTTGTTTTTGATTGTCCCCCCGTCTTCCAAGGATTCTCCGGCTGACTTGAGTTTTCTTGTAGCTTGCTGACCAATCAATGTTCTTCCTTATATCTGTAGCTTTGTAGGAATGACAAGACTGTATAAAACTGCCTGTTATGTTACAATCGGGGCTCAGCCTTTGAGTAAGAATCCGCTGAGCCGGTGCCGGCATCAGTAAATGGTACTTCCTGATTCTAGCCTCGATGTCCTGTCTCTCCATTTGAGAATCCCTCAACATTTCAAGAGGACCTTTGCTCAGGCTATTGTGATAACTTAGGAAAAGACTGAAAAGATGCTGATACAATTCTGGAAGGATTAAACATCTATGACTGCATCAAGAACCTGCTTGGGTTTGGGGTGATGTCACGAAGATGTGTATGAGTGGCATCTGGAAGAAGACACTCAAGAGGTTTGTCCGTGACTTCAAAAGATTTTCCAAGGCTAAGGGAGTTGCAAAAATCAACAAGGCTGTGGTTGAGATGGCAAGTGACTTTGACTTGGGACTGGATGGGGCTGAGTTGCTGCTGGGGTGGCTCGGTGGCTCCTGAGGAACTGACTAATGAGGAGTTGTTGGAACTGGAACAGGAACACATTGCTGAAGAAGAGGCAAAAGAAAAGGAAACTGCAGGACAAGGAAAGAAGAACCCCCAAGAAAATTCATAGTGAAATGTTTAGCAGAAGCTTTTTTTGACCTCCTTGAAAACATGGACTCCAGCACCGAAGAGTTTTCATTAATAGAGAGGAATGTTCATGACGCATTATCTCCCTACAAGCAAATTTATGACGGAAAAAAACAGCAAGCAAGCCATCATGGACATATTGCTGAAAAGAATGAAACCTTCTCAAGAAGAACCTCAGGCACGTCCTTTGGGAGGTATTCTAGAAGAAGGCACTGTCATCCGAGGCGTGACAACTCCATGCATGTTATTGTCCCTAAAGACCTTCCAGTGGGACAAGCTGTGGAGGTGGAAGACAGTGATATTAATGACCCTGACCCTGTGTAGGCCAAGCTAATGTGTGTTCGTGTCTTAATTTTTATCACGAAAGTTTTAAAAGTAAAAAAAAAAGAAAAATTAAAAATAGAAAAGTGCTTACAGAATAAGAATATAAGTATAAAGAAAAAATATTTTTGTAAAGTTGTATAAAATATTTGTTTTAAGCTAAGTGTTATTACAAAAATGTTGAAAAGTTAAAAAATTAAAAATTTTTGAAGCAAAGTAGTTACAGTAAGCTAAGGCTATTTTTGAAGAAAAAATATTTTAAAATAAAGTTACCGTAGCCTAAGTGTACAGTGTTACGAGGTCTGCGGTAACTTAGAAGGTTTACTTAGAAGGATTTAGAACAAACAGGAAAAATATCTTGCTAGCAGGGCAGTGTCAACTATTTATCTTCTGGGAGAGTGATTCTTGTAGCAGTCCATATATCCATCCAAGAGCTGTTCTCTTTGGCCCCCCAAGAGACAGCTCAGGTGGAAGAAGACAGACCTGTGCTGGTGGGTATGCGGCCCATCTTGACGTATAATCTCCATGCCCTTCGGGAGCCACTGTCTTTAAATACTGAAAAGTCATTATGGTTTTTATATGTAGCTGGGGCATCGGGGAGTGAAGGATAGAAAGACTTTACTGAGACCATTTAGTTGAAATACTTATTTTGCACGTATATTATTTATAAGGGACGTGCCTATTTCAAGAATCACCATACTCAGAGAGGCTCAAAGATAGGGTTTCTCGGTAGCTACTTACAGTTAATTTATAATTTCTGATCCAGATTCAACTTAGAAGTCACGGGTTCAATAGTAACTGAAATTATTGAGTACAAAGCCAAATTTGCATATAGTATGCCTCAAGATTCGTATATTCAAAAGTAGCCTGTCACATCTAAACTTAGGTACTTGTGAGTGAAACTTCTATTTTTCATAGCTTTTTCAAGATTATAATTATGAACAATTAAGTACAAATACTGCCGTTAATGATTTCTACAGTTAATATAGCAATAACTTTTAATTATCAATTGGAAGGTTTTCCTTATTTTACATCCTTTAACATAAAAGTATAAGATTAGGCTGTTTGAAAGAATTTAATTATAATTTTTGGTAGAATTTTAAAAGTGATTATTAGTGACTCAGTTATAGCCTATTTATATTTAGAAGTTATTATTTTGAAATTAGAAGCAGTGAAATAAGTTCACTCCTGGTTTTTATTACCTTTTGGGTTAAACTTTTTTGGTAGAAGCTTCTTGGCTGAATGTGTTTATTTGTAAAGGAAATTGCTGCTATTTTAATATGTTTCTTGCAGCGAATAAGAAATATTGGATTTGGATCAAGTTGATGCAATTATACTTAATGACAGCATTTTGCTCAGAAACTAAGATGCTTTATTTCCTCCCACTCCCACCCACTTGGCAGCCCTCGTCCTCTCTACCTTGTTTTTTATAAACCAATTCTAAATATATCTGTTTCCTTCCTTCTTTTCAGGGTAAATGGCATTCTTGATTAGATAGCGTTCTTTTAGTTTAATTGTTTTAATTTTTGTGGATTAGACTATAGGAAGGTGAAATAAGCATACAGTTTACAGAATCAGAAGCGCCTGAATGTGATAATGTTCTTTAAATTTCTTAGCTATTATTATTTTCTATTTATTGCATGAAGTTAGCTATGGAAGCCTGGCCAAATATCTTACCTCTGCCGTAGTCAGTTTCCCAAATAGCTAATAAAGATCACTTATCGGCAATGTTATTTTCTCTAGAGATATGAAATATACCTAAAAGCAGAAGTGTATTTGAGTGAACGTTCACAGTGATGGTAGCCTTTCCAAACTTTAGCTGGCAGCCATAGCCGTTTTGCTTTAAAATCTGGTCGCAGCTAATTTTTAAGTGTAAATGATTTGGTCTAGTACTTAGGTATTTTTCTTCCTGGGCTAGATCCACAAAAGTAATTTCTTATAACCGTCACTGTTTAACATTTTGTTTTTTAACTTTCATGGATATAATATTCTTGATCAGAATGTTTTCCTCATTCCTTTTCTGGATTTTCGAATTCCATCTATCTTT